CGGCGAGTGGGTGTTCTTACAGGAGTCCCTGAAACCTCCCCACTGTTTTCGCTGGAAGTGTCTCTGAGCCATCCCTCCAGCTCAGCTCCTCTCCCCTGCTGGTTCCCTCTTCAGCTGCTGCGTCTCTCCCAACCTGTGTGAGCCCTTTCACCTCCCTGCTGGTTCCCTCTTCAGCTGCTGCGTCTCTCCCAACCTGTGTGAGCCCTTTCACCTCCCTGCTGGTTCCCTCTTCAGCTGCTGCGTCTCTCCCAACCTGTGTGAGCCCTTTCACCTCCCTTCCGTCCGATGGCAGTTCCCTGACATCCACCTCCCCTCCAGGGCCCCCTTCACCCCCTCTCGCCCCTCCTCTACGGGCGGTGAGGAGGCAAAACCCGGAATGAACTTCCTTCATCTTCCGATGTCTCGAACACTTCTCTCAACCTGTTGCGGTTCCTGGTCTCGAAGTACACCTCCTCCTCAGAGTCCATCTCCTTCCCCTTCCGAGTCCGGGAATCCTTCCAACTCCTCCCCCTCATCAGTGGTCCCAAAGTATTCCCTCCGGAACCTCTCCACAGGCTGAGGTTTCCTTGGGAGCCTTTGATGGAACGTTTCTATCAATACCTCGTCATTGATATCTTCAGCCATTACCCAAGTGTTTTCTGACTCCGGTTCTCCTTCCCACGCTACCAAATACTCCACCTGATCCCCCTTCCACCTGGCGTCGAGGATTTCTGCCACATGGCTGCTGCATTCTCTTTCTTCTATGACCGGTCCCCGAGTGGCCAGCCCTTCTCGTCCCCTTTCGTACGGTGACAGTAACGACCTGTGAAATACTGGGTGCAGTTTCATGTGGTTGGGTAACCGGAGCCTGAAAGCCACTGGGTTGACCTGTTGAATGACCTCAAAGGGACCCAACCTCCTGGGTCTTAATTTCTTACAACCTCCTTTGAACGGCAGCCCTTGGGTTGACAGCCACACCCTATCTCCCACCCTTATGGTTTCACCTTCCCTTCGGTTCTTGTCTGCCTGCCTCTTGTATTCTTCCTTCGCCCTTTCTAAGTTGAGTTGGAGCTGACGATGGATTGCTTCCATTTCTTCCACAAAATGCTCGGCTGCCGGGACGCTCCATCTCTCCCCATCTCCCCTGGGAAAGCCCTGGGATGACACCCATAATTAGCCAAGAAGGGGCTCATCCCTGTGGACACATTCTCGGCATTGTTGTAGGCAAATTCCGCCAGCGCCAACTTTTCTACCCAGTCATTCTCTCTGTCATTGACATAACACCTCAGGTATTGCTGGAGGACACCGTTTGCTCTTTCCGCCTGCCCGTTGGTTTCAGGGTGCCGGGCAGTCGAAAAATTGACCTCCACCTGCAGTGAGCTCATGAGCTTCCTCCAGAACCTGGAAGTAAATTGTTTTCCTCGGTCTGAGACCACCCTCAATGGCACTCCGTGCAACCTAAAAATGTGTTCTACAAATAACTTCGCTGTCTCTTCCGCCGTGACTGCATGCGAGCAAGCTACAAAGTGGCACATCTTTGTTAGTAGGTCTACCACCACCATGATGGCTGTTTTCCCTTTGGACTTCGGCAGATCAGTCATAAAATCTATCGACACTGCCTCCCAAGGTCGTTCTGGGGTTGGTAAGGGTTCTAATAGCCCCGCCGGCGCCCGCCTTTCCCCTTTGGCTCGCTGGCATTGCTCGCACCCTCTTACATACTCACGTACATCTTCCCTCACCTTAGGCCACCAAAATTCCCTGGTGACCAACCACATGGTTTTGTGTTGTCCAAAATGCCCCGCCGTAGGGCTGTCGTGCAACTGCTTGAGTACCCTCCCCTTAACTCTCCTTCAGGGATATACAGTGCCCCTTTGTAATACAAAGCTCCATTTCTTTCCTCGAAACCCCCTGGTTCCTCTCCCTCAGCCCTAAGACCTCTGAGCTTATTCTGGGCGTATTCATCATTCTCTGTTTCCTCTACCAGTTCTCTTTGTCCCACCAATGCCGCCCCACACACCCAGCGGTCCTCTGGAATAACATGTCTCTCTTCGGGTGCCCCCTCCCCCTCCAAATATTCTGGTTTGCGAGAGAGAGCGCCCGCCCTAATGTTCTCTGGGCCTGGCACGTAATTAATCTCAAAGTTAAATTTGGAGAACTCCTGGGCCCATCTCACTTGCCGTTGGTTGAGCACTCGTGCCGTCCTCCAATACTCTAAGTTCTTGTGGTCAGTGCACACTTGCACCTTATGTTGTGCGCCAATTAGCAGGTGCCTCCATCTCCGGAACGCCTCATGAATGGCTAGTAGTTCTCGGTCATACACCGTGTAGTTCCTCTCGGATTTGTTCAGCTTTCGCGAAAAGGCACACGGTCTCCACTCTGACCCCTTCTTCCCTGGCTGCAGAAGCACCGCCCCAATCGCTCTGTCTGATGCGTCAGTTTCCACTCTCATCGGTTTTTGTAAATCCACATGCAGGAGTTGTTGTTCCGAGGCGAAGGCCCTTGTTAGTTCCTCAAATGCTCGCTCCGCCTCCTCAGTCCACACGAACTTCTTCTTACTGCTGAGACAGTCCGTAATGGGCGCCGTCAGGTGGGCAAAGTTTCGGATGAACTTACGATAGAAGTTCCCAAATCCTAGGAACCTCTGCACATCCTTCTTTGTTTTGGGTGTTTTCCATTCCAGCACCGCCTGGACCTTGCCGGGATCCATGGCCAATCCCTTGTCAGACAGGCGATACCCCAGGAATTCCACCTCCTTGGTATGAAACTGACACTTCTCCAGTTTCACCCACAGCTGGTTGGCTTGCAGCCTGCTCAACACTTCTCTGACGTCTCTCACATGCTGCTCCTCATTCTCAGAATACACCAACACGTCGTCTAAAAGGCCACACAATTCTTGTAAAGCAAAGGCCCCAGGACGTGGTTCATAAACGATTGAAATGTTGCGGAGCCTGCTTGTAGGCCGAAGGGCATAACCAAATATTCAAATGCCCCTAAAGGGGTGAACATAGTGGTTTTCCATTCATCCCCTTCCTTTTTCGTACGAGGTTGTACGCGCCCCTTAGGTCCAGCTTTGTGAAAATCTTTCCCTTCCGCACCCTTGTCAAAATGTCGTCAATCCTGGGCATAGGGAGGCTACTGGTTCTGACACTGCATTTAAGGCCCTGAAGTCACACACCAGCCTCGGCTTGTTCGTGTTTTCTTATCCACAAAAACACTGGGCTGCCCCCACCGCCCTGGACTCTCTGATGAACCCTCTCTTCAGGTTCTTGTCAATGAACTCTCTTAGCTCCTGCATCTCTCTGTCTGACATGGCGTACAGCTTGCCTACAGGGAGCTGTGCTCCAGGGAGTAAATTGATTTGACAGTCAAAGGGTCTATGCGGGGGTAGTTGGTCAGCTTCCCTTCGCTGAAGACGTCACGGAGATCTGCATATTGTCGTGGTACCTTCACGTTCTCTGTTACTTCAGTCCCTGCTAGGGTGGCTTGGACCCCTGCCAAACCCTTTCCCTCTTTGCAGTGTTCTAAGCAATGTGCTGAACCAAAAGAAACCACTCTCTGATGCCAGCCCACCAGCGGATCATGTAACGCTAGCCAGCTCATCCCCAATATAATGGGAGCTCCTCCCAAGGTGGCCACATTAAAAGCTATCAGTTCGGTGTGCCTCGCTACCTTCATTATCATTGGGACGGTCTGCAAGCTGACTTCCCCTCCCAACAGCTCCCTGCCATCGATCGTGGTCACCTGCAGGGGGCTGCTTAAAGGGATCGTCTGTATCTGGTGTTCAGCTGCAAACTCTTTGCTCATGAAATTGCAGGAGCTGCCTGAGTCCAACAGCGCCTTTATCTTTAGAGGGTGTCCGTTTGGCAGCTCTAGCGTCACTTCTATCACTAGGGCGGGTTTAGGAGGTTCTGGCGTGGGCACTCTCACTGCTCTTTGGCCTGGCTGCTGTGCCCCAACAGTGGCAGCCAGGCGTTGGCTTTTACTTGCTCCGGTATATCTTTCTCTCTTCCATCCACAGCTCCTACCATCCCTTGCCATTCTTTCCTCTGGGGGCAGACTCTGGCAAAGTGACCTGGCTGTTGGCAGAGATAGCATTTCCGTGCGCCTTTTCCCTCCTTTTTTCCCCCCCTCACTGGGCTTTGAAACTGCACGCGCGCGCTGTTCCGATTTCCATCGGCTCTGCCGGTGGGAAAGTTGGCTCTGGAATGTCTGGAATGCGGAACTCCTTCCAACGTTCCCCTTTCCCTTCCCGCCTCTCCAATGCTCTCGCCTCCTGGCGCGCTCCTATGGCCAGCGCTGATTTGGTCAGCTGGTCCATAGACTCCACCCTGGGCGCCCGGGAAAGTTCGTCTTTCACAGCCGAAGAAAGCCCTTCTTCAAAGAGCATTTGAATGGGTTCCGCCGATAAGTCCCACCCCAATCTGTGAACAAGCATGGTGAACTCAGTCCAGTACTCACGGACAGATCGGCTCCCCTGTTTGCAAGCCATTAACTGTCTGCGCACCACTCCCTTTTCAATATCGCTGGAAAACATCAGATCCATGGCGCGAAAGAACTTCATCGTGTCCTTTAGGACGTCACTATTAGCTGCCATCAGGGGTCTAACCCAGTCTCTCGCCCCCTTTTCAAGATGCTCAATCACGAAAGCCACTCGTGATTCCTCGTCAGGGAATTCATCAAACTGCAGATTGAGGGCATATTGCATTTCTGTCCGAAAGCCATGATAGTTTTGGGCTCCCCCAAACTTCTGCACCAATCCTGGTACCTTTCTGGCGAGCTGGGTGGCTTTCCTTTTTTGTCTGCATCCTGAGCCCTCCTCTCCTCAAGCCTCGCCGTCTGCATCGCCAGCTGGACCTCCAACACCCGGTACCTTTCTTCCAGGCTTGGACCCACTCCAGCTCCTGCTTCTCCGGTTCCGGCTGGGTTGCTCATGATGCCTTCTCCTGCACAAGCTGCTTTCAAAGACTGTCGGAATGCTGTGATGGGATGATGAGCTGCTTGTGCGTAAAATCGTATCCCCTCAGAGTTTGTTCAAGTCCACAAACCTCTGTCTGTGACGGAGCCCTCAGACATGTCTCCTCTAGTCACTAGCAGATTCCGACAGTGGTTGCTTTCGTAATCGCTTCCAACATAAAAGCTCCTTAACGGAAACACGTCTTCTGGACTCCCTGCGTGACAGTTTCCGGCGAGGAGTGGGTGTTCTTACAGGAGTCCCTGAAACCTCCCCACTGTTTTCGCTGGAAGTGTCTCTGAGCCATCCCTCCAGCTCAGCTCCTCTCTCCCTGCTGGTTCCCTCTTCAGCTGCTGCGTCTCTCCCAACCTGTGTGAGCCCTTTCACCTCCCTGCTGGTTCCCTCTTCAGCTGCTGCGTCTCTCCCAACCTGTGTGAGCCCTTTCACCTCCCTGCTGGTTCCCTCTTCAGCTGCTGCGTCTCTCCCAACCTGTGTGAGCCCTTTCACCTCCCTTCCGTCCGATGGCAGTTCCCTGACAAAGCTGAAAGAATGGCACTGCAAAAGCCTGAAATTCTGATGCAGCCCTTTAATTCTCATTTGATTTCACTGTCATGGGTGCCGAGCACCTCATACAACCCTGGCCACATATTTTGCAAACCTACAGATATGACGAGTCTTTTTCGGTGTGATGAGTAACCTGATTTTCCAGTATCTTTGTGCAAAAACAAAGCTATATACTTATATCGAGAGAACATATGCATGCTGTATTTTGCTGCAATGCTTTTGTGTGTATGTGTGTGTGTAAAACAGGAAATAATAAATACCTGTGAGGTTGTCACTACAAAACAAATATGACAGTTCCTTTCTTTGCTCATATTCAATTCAATTTCCGCAATGAAAGTTTATTTAGGGAAAATAGGTAAATGTTACTAGTCTTGCTTAAAATCAGTAAATTAGCTTGCTATGCATCCATCCTCCTCCCCCAAGGGTAGCCATTTATCTTACCTGACAGCAGGGGCGGATTTTGGTAACATGGCACTCTGAGCAAGGACTGAATTTGGTGCCTCTCACCCCTGCCTTCCGTTCTGCACATGCTCTCAAGTGCACCACATCATACTTGTGACAACTCTGACCAGAGGCCTAACTTTGAGTAGGTAGGCATATAAATATAGGTATTATTATTATTTTGCGTTCCTCTCAGCTTGACGCCTGGGAGTGGGGGCAGGAAACAGCCTGCACCACCTAAAATTTGGTGCTGCTCACAGTACTGCCAAGAGGACAAATCCTCTTTTTGAAGGTGTGCTCTAATTGGAGGGCTGGCTAGTCCAAGCCTGGTTTAAAGATAAGGAACCATCAAAAGGGAGAGCAGGAGCCTCAAAATTGACTGAGCAGGCACACAATTCACCTGATGTCTTCCCCCACTGTGGTGAGATGTATTGCATTTCTACTTCAATTACAGTAGTTATTTCTAAATGTACACCTGTGCACAAAAATTATGATATGTCAATTTTATGCAAATTAAAATTCTCTTTTGCCCTTTTTTCATCGTGCAGCTTCTCTTTTTTGGCCATGCATAACTGGCCACCCTACCTGCCTGCCTGCCCCCATCTCTTCATTCTCCATCCAGGAAAGAAAGAGACATTATTATTGTTTAATAATAATATATTCCAGGATGGCAGACACTTGAGGAAGGCACAGAGCCAGACTGGTGAGCCAGGCCTTGGGAGAGAACTGGATATTGGGAGTAAATTTAATTCTTACAACTGAGAAAACAAAAATGGGCTTACATGGTCAGCTGCTACACAGCGCTCCAGTCTCACTAGATTCAATGGGTTTTACCCCAAAGCGTACACAGGATTACACCTTACTGTCCATTGCTATTCGTATATATTTTGATACATGTGTCCAATGGGACTTACTCCCTAGTGTGTTTTGGGTTGCAACCTTAAACACAAACCTTGATACTGATAAAGAAACAGGATATTTTAATATCTTACTCAGTTTTTTAAAAAAATGTTACAAAAGTGACAGGAAGAAAAACAAATGATTGTATTTTGTTGCTTCATGATTTCCAGTAGGACTACTCCAGTCCAGGTCAGAAAAAAACTTGGAAGTCTTCAGAGGGCAAGTTCAACCGACATGTCACATTCATGCTGCTTAACCTTTTACAAAGCTTTCCTATTTCAGTGTGTCCTTCATAAAAGGTCATAGGAGCTAATTGTTTACAATCTTTTCTCTTCGCTGTAATATTTACATTTCCATAATGAAATGCCAGCACTGTTGTTGATGCCTTTCAGAAGGATTATTTCTACCACAGACTGTTAGTTTATAAAACAAAACAATATTTATTCCATTATTTGCACCAAAAGCAGGAATTGGTGTTTTAAAATGAGTTGGGGTTGCATTCAAACACCACTACCTTGCCTTGGCTCGCTGCTCATTTTACATCAGGTAGAGCACATGCATTGCATTCAGATGACCTCAAGTTCACTCCTCGGCATCTCCAATTAATGGACAACTAGCAGATGATCTGCTGGAGGTTAAGACAGCTGTTGCTATTCAGGATAGATGGATCAATAGTCTGGTTTAGTAAAAGGCAACTTCCTATCTCACAGGTACGTAGGATGCTGTCTTATACGGAATCACACCACTGGTCCATCTAGCAGATGGACAGGGTATTAATACCAACAACAACTAGTTTTGTCTCCATTGATTTGCAGCGGCTCTCCAGGGATTCAGATGAGACTTTCCCAGACCTGCCTTTAGATCATGGGTAGGCAAACTAAGGCCCAGGGGCCGGATCCAGCCCAATCACCTTCTAAATCAGGCTTGCAGACAGTCCGGGAATCAGTGTGTTTTTACATGAGTAGAATGTGCCCTTTTATTTAAAATGTATCTCTGGGTTATTTGTGGGGCATAGGAATTTGTTCTTTCCCCCCCAAAATATAGTCCAGCCCCCCACAAGGTCTGAGGGACAGTGGACCGGCCCCCTGCTGGAAAAGTTTGCTGACCCCTGCTTTAGATCTAGGTGAATTAACTTTTGACCATCTACATGCAAAGAAGATACTCTATCACTGAACTGCAACCCTATGAATGTATGGGCATAATCCACATCTGCCCATGCAATGTCACCTGCCTATAATTAATTTTACAGATGCTTGCGCAAGAACAGATTTGGGTGCATTGGACCAAAGTTCCTGAAAAGGGCAACAGAAGCAAAAACAAGACAGTGGCCTTGGACATTAAGGTCAGCTATCAGGAAATGTCTAACACAGGCATCCCTGGCCTGTGTGTAAAATCCACCATTTGGAATGGCATGGGTAAACTACTGCAGGATTGGCTGTGGAGGATCCTGCCTGCTTCAACCATGGCACAGATGGAACCCTTCCAGCTCTGCCCCTGTATAATTTGAAGAAATTCCCCGCTTTCTGGGGCGTGGGTGGCACTGTGGGTTCAATCACAGAGCCTAGGGCTTGCCGATCAGAAGGTCGGCAGTCAAATCCCTGTAATGGGGTGAGCTACCATTGCTCGGTCCCTGCTCCTGCCCACCGAGCAGTTCAAAAGTATGTCAAAGTGCAAGTAGATAAATAGGTACTGCTCCGGTGGGAAGGTAAACAGCGTTTCTGTGCACTGTTCTGGTTTGCCAGAAGCGGCTTAGTCATGATGGCCACATAACCCGGAAAAACTGTCTGCGGACAAACGCCGGCTCCCTCGGCCAGTAAAGCGAGATGACAACTGCAACCCCAGAGTCGTCCACGACTGGACCTAACGGTCAGGGGTCCCTTTACCTTTACCCCACTTTCCAAACACACCCCTATATCTTAGCGGGACTTATTTATATAGATAAGAACGGTCCTTATGAAGAACTTGTTGCTCAGCAAAGCAAAGCGAAAAAACCTAACAGCCTGCCTGTGTTCTGTAGTCTGTGTCTTGAAAGCAACTGTATTTTGTCAAATAAAGGTATTTGAATGTCATCTTTCGTTCAAATTTCTGAAGACAGTATTTACATACTATCATTTTTTCTTGGAGAAATTAAAGCATAAAACCAACTGTTTTCTAGGTTGAGAACGCCCAGAAAAGAATTCTCTGGGCAACCCAAGAACAAAGAAATGTGATTGCTCTGAAAGAGCTTTAGAGAGAGATGGAGTGGACTATTGTCTGCTTGAAGATATTTAATATTCTACTTCTGGCTGAAATGATGGCATATAAGAAAAGAATACATCAAAGTAATATAAAGCAAAAATGCATGTTGATCCTGTGGATGTTTAAGTAGAAGTAAATTCCACAGAGCTCAGTAGGCCTTACTCTTCAGTAGCGTATGTAGGATTTGCAGCTTTAGTTGAAGAGTAAAGTGAAGGTCACACACTTAAAGCTGGTGTTTCATATTTTCTGGCATGTAATAGGAAAGGAACAGTGGGAGCTAGATCCAAGGGTGTAACTTACGGTTATGTATTTTGCTACAGACTTGAAGTTTTTCATTGTTGTAACATTGTCATGCAAGCAAAGGGAGTTTTATTTTAGTGTGATACATGTTACTGTGCATAAGTGCATTTCAGAGGATGGAATACAGTATTACAGTGAATGAATATATTGATGAAGCAGTCCTGCTGCCAAGATAAAGATGTCAGAGAGAAAGAAAAGACAGAAGAGGGGGGTGGTTAGCCATTTGAGGGCAGATGGATAGCTGGCCAACCATTCAGACAGGGCAGTAAAATCTGTTCCATGCACAGGCCCTACAGCAAAGGTGTATAAATAAGTATGGGAAGATGTGATCCCTTGATGCCATGCCTGGGCACAAGGGGAATTCTTCACTTATCATACATTTGAATGGATAAACATATGCAAATGAGTTTTGGACTCTTTAGAAAACGCCTCCTGCTAGTACAGGTGGTAATCTAGAATGAACATTTGGATGGAAGCAAGCTACATTATCTCTAGTTTTATAGCATACATATGCAAACTAACCAACTAACCACAATGCAGATATTTAACAGACTTTAGGCTGCAATCTTGTACTCACTTACGTAGATACACACAGAATTTTGCTATCTAATCACTGTAAAATTGGTGGAAATGGGGAGTCAACTTTCTCCAATTCTCTCTCCCTGCAGCTTCTCCCCACAGTTCCAGGGGATCCCAACTCTCTGGAATGGAGGGGGATGCGGGGGGGGGGGGATTGGCAAAAGTCACCTCTTTCCTTCTATTGGTGGGATTGTCCCAACATTGGAACTTAACTCATGGAATGCTCCCACCAGCTGCCGTCTCTAAAAACTGGTAACAACGTTTTCTTGCCTTCTCTTTCATACATGCTTTCTGAAAGTAAAGCAGAAATTTGAGTTTATGTGATTAATTGTGAATTTGCTGGTTATTCCTGGTTATTTGTATTATTATGTACAGTAATATTTAATCCCTTTCAATACTTCAAACTCATTAAAATATATATCTATGAAAATATACCTATGTGGTGCAAAAATTCTCAATTAAAATAAAATCAAAGCAAAATATATTAAAGAAACAGAAGTACAGAATGGCTCATCTGACAAGGTTATAAAAACAGTAAGTCATTTTCAGTAGACATTTTAATTAAACATTGAATATGAAGGCTGTGATCTACTGTATAACTTCAGGAGTGTAAGCAACAAAGAACCTTCTAGCACCTTAAAGGCTGGCATCCGTCTGCTCTGGAGACAATGGAAAAGTACGCTTTTGGGGGTGAAGTCAAACCATTGGAGAATTACAGTGCCTGCTGTGGCTGTAGAGACTGATATGGGAGAGACATGTTTTGTTGCAGCTGGGGCAGATGAAGGCATCTGGTTGTGCTGATGCAGGTGTACCATGATGTTTTTTTATTTCTGCACTCCTCCCAGCATCATTCCTCCTCTGGTCACTGCTGTAAGACTTAACAAATTTAGTACAACCCACTTGGTCAGATGCATGAAGTGAGACCCTGAATTGCAGGTGGATGGGGGTTTTATATGTACCTGCATCTCAGGTTCACTCTCCCCGTGTCTGATGAAATAGATTGTTAGCAAAAACTTATGTCATAATAAGATTTATTAACCTTTAAGGTGCCACAAAACTATTTGCTCTTTTTGATGCAATTTCCCTCTGGAAATTCGTGAATGTGGCTATACTACAAATATACCTTGATTCTATACTAGTTTAGCTGATTTGGGCCCCATCAGGGTTATTTAATGTAAGTCGCTTTGAGTTGCCTTTATAAGAAAAGCAACTAACATATATAATCATTTACTTATATAAATATTAACTGTACATTTAAAGCAGTATCATGCCACTTTAAACAGTCATGGCTTCCCCCAAAGAATCCTGGGAACTGTAATCTGTTAAGGATGCTGAGAGGGGTCAGGAGACCCCTATTTCCCTTGCACAGCTACAACTTGCAGAGTGGTTTAACATCGCGTCCCGGTTCCCAGGACATTCAGAGAACTGTAGCTTTGTGAAGGGAATTAGGGTCTCTGTGGCTAGCA